TATGCCCCGCCCCTTGGATATTGTTGCTAAGGTTCAAGTAAGAAGTAAGAAAATAAAATACGTTTGTGGGACAATACACGTGTTTGTGAGACACACGCTTATTGCTGGCCCTGTTCTGATTAGCTGGTTGTTAAATATGACTGACACACCGCAAAAATACTTTGTATGACTGAAGTAAAAAAGCATGGTCCCATACTGACCAAAGGAAAGTTAAATTTAATTTTAATTGAGCCAATAACTGACCTCAACACAGACAAATATGATGACAGACGAGGGTGCTGATTGGCTCCTGTGGACAGAAAGCATCTACACAAGCAGCTTATTATTGTAGAAATGTGAAATAAAAACTACAACAAATGTAGCAAATAGAATGCGCGGTGAAAGATGATTATTTGTAATTAACATCTGAGACCATCATTTTGCAGAGAAGCCTAGAACATGATCCACAAGTCTTTCATCACTTCACCTGCTTGGTACAGGCATTTCCCCGGGGTCAGAGGCCTGGTGACAGGGATTCTACCTTGCTGGAAGCTTTCTAGTTCAAAACAATGTCATTTACAGAATATGAACTCTATACACTTTTCTGATTAATTCAAACTTGCTTCTTTCAAAGATGTAAACCTCAATATTTAAAGAAACTCATACTTAAAACATATACTGTAGCAGCCATTATGAAATGATTTTATGATTTATAACATCCAGATTATTAATCCATATATCTTTTATATGGCATACAATAACTAAGTATTCAAAAATTACAATGTTTGAACTATTAGTATGCAGTTAGTGCGGAAGAGCCTTATAAAAATATTGAATAGCTCATATTTAAAATTTTCAAATAATTTATCAACTGCTAATGAGACAAATTGAAACAATTGGATTTTGTAGATTTACAGACTTTCGACTACAAATTCCAATTATATGGGTCTATGCTAAGAATTGGTATTATTTATATGTCTGTTAGTTGGTATGAGAAATATATGCCTGTCCTAGTTTTAAATTGAAAGCTAAGTTACTTAAACACACAAAACAAATCAAATAAATTTTACTCTTGAAATTTATTAGCTACATTAACTAGTAAAATAGACTAAAAATGTTCTTGTGCGGAACACTGTAATACAGTGTTGATTAATGACTGATCGACTGAATACAGGCATAGCCACTAACCAGTTGACATGCATTTTAAGTCAATAAAAAACATATTGTCTCCTCTCATAATCAGTTTTTTAGAGTTTACAGTAAATAGAATTAAAATGTGACTACTGGTAAACATTTATTATACTATTTACACTGGCTATTTACAACATCCCCACCACCATCATTATCTTTATAAAGAGCCATAATTTATTTATCATTGATTGCACTATCTTGGGCACTAGAAGGGAAAAAAAGACCATGGAAGACTCAAAAGTACTGTATATGGAAGTGAACTGCTGAGGTTAAGAAGACAAGATCTTGGCATTAAAATCAGGCTCTGGAGAATTTTTTTTTATATGTTGCACAACTAAAGACACAAAAAACATATTTGACGAAAAACTAACGAGCGGTTAATGATATACAAATTTTTGAATATTTAAAAACTTGGGGGAAAGGTGGAAAAAAGGGTGGTTATGCCCTTTCCCTCCCACCACTCCAAATCTAAATATTCAAAAATCTGTATCTCATTAATTTTCATTAAATATGCTTTTTGTGTCCTAATTCAGGTGTCCAACATATCAAAAATTGTTTCCCTTCCGGAGCCTGACTTTAAAAGGAGAAAGGATGGAAGCAATAGTAACAGAAGAAGTAGAAAGAAATGATTTAAAAGGACTTAATGCAAGGTATTGATCTATAAGTACTGAAACATTAATCCAGAATACTAAAGATAATACAAATGGCAACAATTTCACATAAAGGTCTATAATGATAGGAAATACAGTAAGACTGATATAGAGCCTACTATATGTTGGAAACAGCCATAATTTTTTTTTTTAAATCCATGATATAGCATAATATCTATGCTACAATAAAATGTACCTGTATAATAGCATATTCATTTTATAAAGTTGAAATTATTATCTTTATGCACAATATATATGGTATAGTATAAATCACATTCTGCCCAGGTTAGCTTTTAAGCAGGCTGTAACTACAAATATTTTAAGCAAACAAGCAGTCTGTCCACTAATGGCAGTCAAAGTGGAACAGAGCTTCTAGGCAATGCCCAACAGATGCACAGTTGTTTCAACAATGTCTCAGTGCTTGAAAATCTCAAATCATTTACGTATCGGTATTTAGAACACGGATTACCTATATTGCATTGTTTGTACATTTACTAGTTGGTACACACGTGTCTCTAGCCTGCAGGACGTGGTTATGGGCCAAAGCTATTACCTCACACCTGCTTTCTAGTGACACACCTGATGGCAGTCTCAAAGAAGTTAAACTCTTTAATGTTACAATTACCATTTGATGTTCAAATTTTATTGTTTTTATTGTGTTTATACTAGCACGGTTTTCTTCAGGATTGTGCTTAATTTGTCAACACGTTAAGGCAAGGATGTTTGTCGTCTGGCCTCTTTGAACAAGAGAAGGAAGAGCTAATTTATTTTTTTCTTTACCCTTTGCAAACATGCTCCTACTCCTACACAAATTGAACAAGCTATGAATTTATTATCATTATCACTGTTGTCACAATCAGTATTATTATGTAAAATTATATATCATTATGACTGAAATGTAACATGTTTACACTTTAATTACAACATGACAGAGATAAAGAGTAACCTTCAAGTTATTATTATCATTTTGTATATGAGAGTGAAACATGTGCTTCTTGTATAAGACTTTTCTGATATTATATGTTAGAAGGAAAGAAATAACAATTATACTGTAGTAGTAAGGACTAATCATGAGGAAAATCTACTTAGTATAAATTAAAGATGCAGAATTAAGCGAGTCTGTATCCTATATATCACATTTAGAAGTAGCAGCCGTATACATTGATATTTTAGACCTAATAGCCAACAGGCTAAGCTAGCAGTAGATAATAATCATTCTCCAATTACATAAATATAGACTTTATCCAATCTTGGATCCGTCTCGATAGAGAACTCAGCAACCAATGGCATTTCACCAGCGTGCAATCTTGAGTAATTAGCGAGCGTCCGTTCCACCTTGCTGAGGTTATCTGGCGCATGCCGGCCGACATCAAACGCAGGACTGGCTTTGATGTGACATGAATACCATCACCTTGGGATGGGAATAATTGCTGCCAATCAGGCGGCTACCAGAATCCCGCGGGAAACCAAATTGCTAGATGAAGCATCTGATCAAGTTTGCAAACTTCGTAATCATTCAAAATTTTCTGGTTCATTTCTACTAATTTGTGACGTTTACATCAAATTTATTCCATATGGTCGCCAATTTTGTTTTAAATCAGTTTCATTATTCAGAAAATTACAGAACCAAGATGTGTGGGTTAAATAAAGAGATCAGTTGGTTGAGGCCTACAGTATGTGGGAGGTTGGCAGATAGAAAAGTAAAGCATAAAATTAATCCCTCACAAACTGTTGATGTACTCTATTTACCATAGTGGGTTGCAAAATGATTAATTAGATTTAAATTCTTTAATGACATGTTTTATTTCTTAATGTTAAATTTGCTAATATACATCTTTAAAAGAAATTTATATTTTTAATTTATCTAATTGATTGAAAACAATTTTACTTATTTTTAAATATTTTTTTATGTTTTAGATGACTTAGATATACTGTACTGAAATAAGATCTACATGTAAATCATCTAATAATTTACTATCCATTGCAGTAGATAAGTAAAGACCCTTATTTACTCTAAAATATATTTGAACCCCAATATTCATACTAATCACTCAAAATCAATAAATATTCAACTATTCCTTAAGCACTGATCATAGAAAACCAGCTATTGTACAGTATGCATAAGATCATAACACATATTCCAGTTAAATACTATTTTTGGGTCCGTGCAGGGCTGAACACAAAACCTCACTGCTGTTCTTGTTATTGATTACAAATTGAAACAGTCACAATGTCTTTGCAGTTTGTAGCAAATGCGAGTTTCAAAATGACAACAAACATTTTGATCAAACACCATGCCAGGACGTGACCAGACCAAGCATTAGGCGGCCACAGATGTATTCAGCCAAGTTTAGACCAGACTGCACTGAGCAAAATGCTAGGCCACACACGGCCAAGCATTTGGACCACATAATATATTAAGTCAAGTGTTAAGCCACACATTTTTTTATTTGATCACAAATATTGCACAAGGCCAATACAACGGCTTATAACATTATATGGTTACATAATTCACATATAAAATCTCATAAAGAGGCTATATAATGTTTATTGCAGTGCAATTGCCATGACACAAGGCACAGAGGTCTTAACATTTGAAACCAATCATGAGCAACTGTGATCACTTGCACATTAGCAGAGAATTCCTTAGGTATACTCTTCACATGTTCACCACATGGGGGCTCACTTCATAATTTCTTGTCCAGTACTCCAGTACATTAGGCAGTACAACTTCTAATATTATATTAAGTAACACTCTGTCTGAACAATTGCATTTAAAAAAAAATCGTAATTCTGAAAGCTGAAACTTTTTTATTAATGATCAATCCTTCTTAATAAAGTAAAAACATTTACAAACAAGGGCCCGGCTGAACAACTGGCTGAAAAGTACTGTTTTGTTCCTGCTGCTTGTGCTGAAGACATCAGGTTTGAATTGGAGTCAGATCGCTTGGCTCCATGAATAACCCTCATATTGAGAGTTAGGCGGGATTAGGTTGAAAGGACAATGTTTGTATCCGTACGTGTCTGTTATATGTTGTAGTTAAGTCGAGTGGCGCTGCACTGGGGCTGCGTCTTCAGGACCCAGCACAATTGAATGAGGAACAATAAATAATTATTATATTATTTTTATCACATCTAATGACTGAAGATGGAAGTGGTGAACAATTAAGATAAACCTACCTTAATGCACATAATATCAGTAGCCATACTCTGGATGTTTATTGCACTTGCACTGGACTGGAACAATTTTTGGCATAGTCACTTGGTTTTATAGTATATTGTTGAAGACACTTCTGGAATTTCTCAACAGGAATGAGCCCCTCCTCACTGTCACACACATTTTTCTCCTGAAGTTGAAAATGTTATATTCAATCATTCATTTTAAAGGAGGTAGGACCCATTCTGCATTCTGCTGAGTGAGGTAGGGGCATGGTTACTGACTACTGTAGCAGCCATTGCGAGGGAGTTACTAGCCTCATGTTTACATCAGACAACTACAACAACAACTGGAATGAACCATATTAATTGGGGTACCCTCCTAGTCTTCCGAAAGACACAACATATTTTTAAAAGTGCACACTAGTCTGATCATTTATTCCCCAAGGCATCTTGAAAACCATTGTATTTACAGCAGTTTTATTATGAAAATCCTTGAATTTCGAGGTCGATGTTGAATACAGTAGTGTTATATTAATGTGTGTGATAATTGACAATAACACATTTTTTTGTTCTAATCTATGATTAAATGTTAGATATCTTAAATACATATATAGAATAATCATCAAGTAATGAATTAAATTTCTATTCTACTTTCATTTCAACACAGATGGATATCAACTTCAAGAAATTGAAATTGCTGTATGCTAGTACAGTTACTATTAATAAAAAATGAGGTAAAATGTGTCCAATCAATCAACGTTTAAGAAAACTTATGAACAACATATTATCCTAACTTCAATATAAGCTAGCTTCAATAATCCAACAAGCTTGTTCAGTTTGTTAATAGAGATGATGATGATAACACGCCTAACAAAGCCAAGGCCTTGGAAAAAGCTAGGTCTAAGATACGGAAAATGTTTTGCACTGGTTAATGGATTATAATTTGTGCATGTTCATTCTATTAGACTGCAAACATCAAAGAACTTCAATACATCGTAATCCACATCTTTTTAAAAATTCATAATGGAGGGAAAAAATAATAATCTGCTTTGTAAATTGAAAGTACTGTATTTCGTTACTGATGTTCCATATTGCATGTGTAAATTGCTGAATTGTTATCAGTAGAACTCATTGGCTACGTTAAGACTTGGAGATAAGCCAAGCATACGTAATTGAATGCTGATTGGTCATTTTGTCATCCGAAATCAATGCAAGACCCCCCCCCCCCCTGCAAAGAAGATTAAAGCCCAGC